CTCAAGGGATCCTCCTGCCTCAGCCTCCCAAGTAGCTGGGACTATAGGCACATGCCACAAGGCCGGGCTAATTTTTCTATTTTTAGTAGCATCAGGGTCTCTCTCTTGCTCAGGCTGGTCTGCAACTCCCGGCTTCAAGTGACCTTCCCGCCTCAGCTTCCGAGAGTGCTAGGATTACAGGCTATAGGCATGCGCCACCACGCTGGCCTAGTCTGCATACATTCTTAAGTGACCAGTTTGGTGGAAATTTCTTTAGTGCATTTTTCTGTTAATTCTATAGCATCTCCAATCTGCATGTGTATTAAAGAGCTCAGAGTATTTAGACACTCTTTGTTGCCTGCTCTTCCCAGACCTGTGCCACTTTTGCTAGTTTTGTTGCACAGGCTTCAGTTTAGAGGTAGATCTTATTCCAGCAGCTTTGAAAATGCTGGCTAACCAGCCACCACCTTCCTTAACAGAACTGTTAGTTGACTTAAAGATCGCTGTCCCCTTGGTCCTCCACTGCCACATTCTGTGCTTGGTACCTGCTGTTGGATGACCTCTTCAATTATTTTCAATGCTTGCCTCTAGCTCTTCCTAGGTTTATTCTTATTTCTCTTTTTTGGAGGGGGGAAGAGTGAGGAGGCTTGATAACACTGCAGTAAGTGGGTGAGAGGACTGTTCAGCTTATTGGACGCCTCCTGGAAGGAACACTTCTTGCTGACCTACCACTTGAGACCCCCGACCCTTGCATTACACAACGACTCTCCATCTTGCATCTGGATAATTCTGCCTCTTACAGTTTCATTCAGTACATATACCTGTAAAATGTAATGAGATTTATTTCTAGCTCTTTCTCCAACTTGTCATGTTCATTTTGGATTCTGGTGTTTTACTGCATAAACTAGCTGCTGGGCCATGTGTGCCACTTGCCTCTGGGAACAGGATGAGCAGTGCCAGAACTCTGCCACCGGAGTCACCAGGGCTGGGACCCATTGCCACCCTGCAGGTCAAAGTGCCCCTCACACCAGGTGCAGCCCACGAGAGCTTCACCAGCTCCACCCTGACCAGCGGCAGTAGAGTTTTCCCTAATATTTTGTTAGGGAACCCACTGATTGTTGCACCACTGATTGTTGCATTTTCAAGTGATGTATAGGGGACACAGAAACCATGAATATGAATTACCTTCTAGACTTGGCACAGCAGTAGATTTGGTCTAATCAGATAGAATCCTTTGCCATGGTAGTGTCACTGCTAGACAAGTATTTTTAGCCTCAGCCCAGATCTGAACACATTAATGAATTCTAATAGGCAGCACACCCTGCAGCGGGCTCCAACCGACAGAGAGGGGAGTGGAACGGGAAGGCCAGCGAGTCCTTTGGGGAGCTGGGGAGCAGCACCGGCCCCACAGTGCACCGGGCTCCAGGCCAGAGAGAAGGGCCCGGAGGTGTTGCTGCCGCGTCCAAGCTAAAAGCAGGTGTCCCTGGCTGGGCTCTGGGGCCTGTGGACCTCCTGTCACTGAAAGCACAATTCTGTGGATGTGTATTTTCTGGCAAGCACATACTCAGCTTTTATCTGATTTTCCAAAGAATCCCTGAATTATAGAGGGCTAAGCAGCTCTGTTCACCAGATGGACAAAAATCTAAACTTCCAAAATGAATGAAATAGGTTGTTGAGAATCATTATAACAAAAATACTCAAAGGAAAGAGAGTTAACACCTATTGAATGCTAATTGTGTGTCGGGGACTCTTGGAGACATCTCATTTCATCCTCACAACAACCCCTTAAGGTGGACAGAGAAGGGATTCAAACCCGGGCCTTTCTCTAAAGCCCAGACACCTCCTACACCACATAGGGTCTCTAAAGAATGAAAATGATTAACTATTGAAGATTAATAAAAAATAAAGATGAGGTAAAGCCATGGGGAAGTAGGATTTGACATTCAAAACTGTGGTTTGTTTTTAAAAATTGAGAGCTTAGCTCTTGCATAAAGTTAGGTGATTTAAACCGGACTAAGGGTCCAAAGCCTATGAGGCGACCCAGGGTGCAGCTTCAAGAAGGGGCAGCTCCTAGGAGCAAAAGCTTTTCGGGAAATAAGAAGATGCAAATGGCATGTTGTGAGGCCCGCTTCACTGCTCCGTGTCTCACGAATGAGATCATGTGTTTACGAACAGAAAGATTTGGTTGAGCTGATTTAATTTCTCTTTTGTATGTCTGCACTAATTAATGACAGTCATTTCACTTGTACATAATATAGTAACGTAGGTAAATTCTACTATATTACACTTTATCTCTGTTTGGACTAAAGTATTAATTCTTTTCTTATAAGCTTTTAAAGAGGGTTTGGGAAATAGTCCCGTCCACATAACTGAAGGCTTAACTAACCCCCAGTGCTGCCTTCTTTATAACTAAATCCTGAAGTACATACTGGTCATTGTTTTATGGAAAATATTATTTGAGAATATTCAGTGAAAATTTAACAAAAAATCAATATACATTTCTGGAGTTTTCTATATTCCTTTTTGCCAGTATAGCTTATGTAAAGCAATGTGATCATCTATTTGGAGAACTCTGTTTGGGGAGGCTGAGCAGGATTAATTCTGTCCCTGTGTTGCAGTGTAAACAGCTTTTTGCCTGTCTTTTGTCATTAATGATCATGCCGTAGATGTAGCCAGTGCATTGTAAGCCAATCTGTCAAGGCAAATAAACAATTCACCTTGTTAAAATTCCCTAAATCTTGCATTAATAAAACCAAAGTAACCCCTGAACACTCAAGAGATGTCTTCCTCCATACTGCCGTGATGGATGACATGTCTGAAGATCCTGGAAATTAAGTAGTTCAGGTCATTAAAAGTGTCCCACACTTGTTATTGATTTAATTTATTTTAAAAAGGTGGGGGTGGAGATAAGAATGTTACACCCTCCCCCAATTTTTTTTTAATCTGAAAGCTACCACTTGTACAGATAATTAAAACTATTGCCTGGGGGAACAAGTCTATATGTGTTACAACATTAAGCTTTATTATTCAAATAGATATTATATCATCCTCTTAAACAGATATCTAGAAAAAGTAGGTAATCATTGAAACTTGTATCATAGTAAAAATACCTTGGAGTTTAATATGTGTGATGATTCTTAGAACTTTCTGAGTTCTGGGCACTGAAACCATGACCTCTGGTCACCAAAAAAATTTCCTTGGGTAGGTAAAAATTTAGATGAAGGTGAAATGAATTAAGTAAATTATATTGAAATAGTAATGAAATTATGCCTCTGAGAAGAGGCATTTGTTTTATCTTTATTTTCTAAACTTTTCATTTTTCTGTTTTTATAATCAGGAAAAAAGTAAACATAATACATACACAGGGAGGGATGGATGGTTGGTTGGATGGATGGATGGATGGATGGATGGGAAAACACTTAGAGAATGTGTATATCTGTATCACTATATTCTAAGGCAAGTTGAAGTTGTTGTTTCGTGTGTGTATTTACTTGTTTATAGCTAGTTTTCTCCACCAGCCCATGTTCCAGTGGACCAGTTGTATTCCTTGCCATATCCCAGTGCCTGACATAATAGATGCCCAGTAAATATTTATTTAATGAAAATATATAGCCCCCACCTCTCTTCTCTCTTTGATTCCTTAAGTTTCAGTGGGTACAGAGGGCTATGTCAGGAACAGTAGCAGCCCCATATAGAGCAGGCTGTCTCCCTAGGACAGAGCGGCAAGAGGGCTGTGTGCTAGGGTAGAGCAGAGGGCAGCCTGGGAGGACTGGCAGCCTGTGCAGTCACTCACCCCGTTTATATGTCCTGGACCAGGTGACAGTATTCCAAAACCTGGTGAGAAATGGGGCAACTCAGTAGGTAAACTATGGCTAAAAACAAGATGTTATATAAAACTAAGTATACACAAGATACACATCATTTGACCTTGCTTTTGTTACTAATAACATATCTTGTGCATGAGCTTACAATGTTCCTGAACAGCTGTGTGATTGATATTTCACATTCAATTTTCATTGCTCTTAAAACAACATGTGCTCATTGGACAAAACTTACCCATGTTAAGTTATAAAAAAAATGACCCTTAAGAATAGTTATGTTGATTTAAAAAAAAAAAAAAAGAAAGAATAGTTACGTTGATTTCAGCGATTATTATATAATCTTTGATGCTTTTCTTGTGTTGTCTTTGGAAAAAAGGGGAGAGGGAGATGGCAAATGTGCAGTCAGTTCACACACTCTGCCAGATTTTTGAAAATACACAGATCTGAAAATGGACTCTGTAGCAATCCATCAGATTTCTCCTTGAAATTGCATGATTTGGATCTCTGAGTACTGACGTGGTTATGCCATTATGCCAACTATTTAGCAGAGCTCCCTAAATGGAAGAACGCTATAGATTTTTTTTCAGTATATACACTGATTTACACTTTAGCGGTAAAGTTGTTAGTGACCCTTTAAGTGGAGCTGTCCAGATGGCAATAAATGTCAGTTGATCCTAACGCCGAAACAGGTGATGGCTGAGGGGTCTTGACTAAATCTTCCAGTTAGAAAAACCATTTATAGTATTTCCTAATCACAGTGGTCTCCTGTGGACACATGCACACACCCCAGACCACTTTATCACTCAGTAAGGAAAATTGATTTACATGTCTTAGCAGTATTGTTGCTGTTTCCAGGTATTGAAATATTCACTCTGGCTTAGAATCTCCTTGAAGGCAGGGACCATGTCCAACTGGTTCCTGGCTGTCTTGTCCCCTAGGCAGTATCTGGCATGCAGTAGGTGCTCTATAAGTGCTGGCTGAATGGGAGAATAGATTAAATGCAGCATTTGCTGACACGGCACAGCATGCGTGTCAGCCCGAATCCTTGGTGGGGACATGGGGACTGCTCCTCATACTGACTGTGAGGAACGTTGCTGGCAGGAACTTTGATGGACGGTTATGACTTTTTGAAATAGTTCGTTTGATTGATCGCCTAGCAAACTTCACTGCAGTTTCTAATTCTGTTTTCTGCTTTCACAGGCTGTCATTTTAGAAAATGAAGAACTTCCCAAACTGTTCCTTGATTTTCTAAACGTGCGACACTTGCCCTCTCTTCCAAAGGCAGAAAGTTGTGGGTAAGAACTGTCGCTTACATACTGGATGCATATTTTAAGTCGCTCTTCTATAACCGATTACCAGTGGGCCTGACAAATAGCCCAGAGTGGTGCCAGAACGGCCAGCCTGGCCATGCCCGTTCTTTCGGCTTGGGACAGCACTTGCTCGCCCCCTGCTTGTGCTCAAAGGAATTCCTCTGAAGTCCTCATCCCTGTCTTGGCCAAGGGGCCAAGGCTCAGTAACTCATGTTTAGACTTAAGGAATCGACCTTTTAAATTATGCTGTTATGTAGAGTGATGTTACGTGGTGGGAACCACGGATCTAGATAGCTTGTTTAGGGTCTAAATTTTTGTGTGTGGATACTCGAGCAAAGTCCATATCTTCTTGGCACACATCCTCATATAATTTTGAATCTATAAATGACCTTAGAAATGACTTAATCCAAATCCCCTCATTTTGTGGTTGAGCAAACAGAGACCCAAGGATTAGGAGCCTTTCCTAAGATCTCTTGCCTTGTAGCTGGCAGAACCCAGGCCTTCCAGCGAGAGCCTTCTTCCTCCACCGCCTCTCCCTCCGGAACTTCTATGCCAGGGTGGCAGACCCTAATCTCTGTCTACCAAGGAACCAGAGGTTTGATGTCACCAGCAATCAGGAAAAGACCACCCAAAGAATTAACTCTGAAACAAGCCACTGGCCCATCAGTGGGCACCTGGCTTGGGCTGAGCAGCCTCAGAGCCGTCGACAGCACCCTTGGCATAGTACCCATTTACAGAAAAACAAGCCATCACAAACTCCCTGAGAACCCGAACAGGGAAGAGGGCTGTACCTATTTTCTCGCTGCCTCCAGACCCGCCCGAAGGAGCCGCACTGACTGCAGGAGCGTCCTGCAGACACTCCCAAGGCCGCGGTAAAGCCCAGCTGTCTGCTGGACAAGAGGCCACGGACACCTGTCAGCTCCGCACTGCGCTGCTGACTCAGGGCCACGACGTCCCACTCACCCCAGAGCATGAATTACACACTACACGCCCTAAATAATCCGTGGGCTCAGTGCGTTCTGTTCCCACTTGTCTGCATTTACTGGGACGTTAGGCGTTTATGTGTTTTTTAGAAGAAATATAAGCAATGGCAGTGAGCAAAATCTTTTCTCCACTACACAAGCCCAAAAGTAGTAATAAAACATTGGGATTTTTAAGTGATCTTCAGGAAAGTGGAAATCCAAGAATATCCCAGTCTAAAGATTCTTTAGGGTGAGACATTAGCCATTCTGTGGCTCAGTGAAAACTTACAGCTCTTTTTTTTTTTTTTTTTTTTTTAATGTTTACCAATTCAGTGCTCTAAGAATACTGGCTGTTTTTTCCTTTGTTGGCATAAACATTGACCCAGCTTATGTGATCTTTTTCTCTCTCTTCCCCCCCCCTTTACGAAAATTCTAGATCTTTTGATGAGACAGAGTCTGAAGAGTCAAGGTAAGAACTAACACTGGTCACTCAAGGGTTGTACAGACCAGGGATAGGACTGTGCGCTTGTTAAATGTTCAGGCACCCACAGTGTAAGTGTTTTAGGTCATGTTTTTCTTGAAAACCTTTGTTACGAAAAATTGGTTTTAAGATTATAAATATTTGATAGGGTCTTAGAGGAGTAACCAGTCATAATTTGGAGTGAAGGAGTTAGAGCCTTACCTTGTTTCATACGAGTAATAAGAATGTTTTATCCGTAATCGTGTAACTGGATTTTTAAGAAAGCACTTTTCAGCCATGATTTATTGTCTAGATAGTGTATCTGCTTCAAATTCCACAAAGAGAGGTTTGGACGGGGAGTGCAGTGCTAGTTTGCTCTCCGTAACTGCGTTTGCTATTATTCTGTTACTCACTCACACTGTTAGATGCATAAACCTTGAGACATCCCCGCACAGCAGTTTGATCCCCTCAAAGCTAGTTTGTAGTGTTTTCTGTTTACCGTCGTCCCCTGATGCTGACATGCCTGTTCTTGACCTTTCCAGCAAACTGTCCCACCAGCCCGTGCTGCTGTTCCTCAGGGATCCATACGTCTTGCCTGCAGCCAGCGGTAATCAAACCTGTCATCTGCTAACAGCTCTTTACTGATCTGACCCTGCACCACATAAACCGCGTTTTTAATACAGGTCTAACAGAGTGACATTGGTCCAGGGCTTAATAATCTGCCAATAAACCAGTGCTCTTGGTGTAAGAGACATTTAGAATTTTAATTGGGGCCAGCCTTTCAGGAGGAAATGTAATTTTTCTTTCTCTCTTCCTGGGCTATTTTGAATTAGAGTAATAAGTGGGGAAGGTATTTACCGTCTTTAATTTTTTTTGGTAATGTTATTTTGGCCTCTGCTTGTTTTTGTCCAGATGCCAGAATTCAAATTCAAGCCTCTAATCCTTTTTTTAAAAGCCCCTTTCCAAAAGTAGTGTACACATATTGCCAGTGTATCTCTGTTTCCATTTAGCTTACAGTTTCTTTGATGGTCAACTATATATTTTTAACAGTTGTATATTTTAAATATAGTTAATTGATTTAACTAACTATAACTGTAATCAATATTTTAGCCTGAGGCCTTTCTCTGTGCCAAGAAATTCGGATTCCTCTGAGTCCCTCGCAAAGTGTCCTCTTGTGCAGCTCTATATGAGTATGTTCTCAGACATTATCTCATTTAATTTTCTTAACAACCATATGAACTAGGCAGGGCAGGTATTATCATTGGCTGAATGAGAAAATTGGGGCTCAGAGAGGTCCCTGACTTGTCCAGGGTCAGATGGCTGATGGATGGACCCCTCGTAGCCTGAGTTCTTGTCTGTGCTCTTTGCGTGTAGTGAATTTTCAGCCTTTGTTTCTGAGAGTCACTAAATAGCAATGGATAGATGATCCACTGAAACCATTCCTACTTTCTGACAATAAAAGTTTATCACCAGCGAGAGAAAGGGGAATGCGGCAAGGATGTAAGTACCCAGATCACCCACTTGGCTGCCAGTTTAAAGAAGAGTGGCCAGCACACAGCTCTCCTCTGTTGAGGAACCTTTTCTAGCACCCTGATCAGAGAGAGCTACCTTTGCTATAAAACAGTATGATATCATAGTGTTTTTGCGACAAGATCTTTGCAGTGATAGCATTTGCTCCCCATGTTTAACAAATATGCATGCTATCTTAGTTGATGTTAAAATGTTATATTTAACAAATATTCATGATGCAACCTAGTCTAGATTAAATAGGCAGTGTTTTGTAAAGTATTATCTTTTAAAAATGGAGATATTTCATGCATCTGATTGAAATTCCTATAGAAGTATAGAGTGCGGCGATCACCGTAGACGAGAACAGCCAGGATACTTGATGGAAGAGGGAAGATATTTTGTGACCCTTAACTCCAGTTCCTTCGGCTTATTGAGCAGCACCTACCATGTGCTCTGTACCTGGCTTGCAACAACGAGCAAGAGAAACTTTCTGGGAAGGAATATCAGCAGTAAATATCTTGAGCTAGAAAGAGTGAGAGTAGGTATCGTTTATTGGTAGCGTGGAGTGTGGATGAAGACTTGCAAAATAAGGGGATTCCTATTTGAGAGTAAGTGGAAATCATGGGTTCGATGGGTAGAATGGAACAGGTATGGGAGGGCCAGTCGCCATATCTATTTTTTTGGAATTTGACCAACCCAGTTTCAAGAATCAGATTCCTATTGTCTTAGAAGTGCTACATTAATGATATATTATTGCAAATCTTTAACATTTAATCTAAAGAGAAACTTTACTTGCATCACATTTCTGTGTTATGAAGCCTCCTAGGAAGATGCTCAAATTATTATTCCAGAGAATACTGAATATGGAAATATCTTCGTGGATATACTGCCCCTCACAAAATCAGAGGAGTGTTTGTCTTTAAAGATCTGACAATTAAACATCATCCTTTTGTAAAATGCTAATAATCAAATATTATCCCTTAGCTTTTAATATCAGAAGTCAGGAGAGTACTCTCTTAACAGCTTGAAAAGCATATGCTTTTTGTTTTTGTTCTGATTTTTCTGGGAAGTTCAAAACAACTCTTGCCAACATCCCCAGTGACTTCAGTGTGGCCAGACCCTGTGGACATTTTTCAGTCCTCATCTCCCCTGGCCTCTCACCAGTTTTAGACATGTTGACCACCTTCCCTCCTTCAAACGCTGTCTCTCCTTGGCTTTCTCACTTTTCTTCCAATCTCTGGCAGTTCCCTGAGGGCTCTTGAAAGCCCTCTCCTCTTCTCACTGTTTCTTTCAAACAATCTCCTCCTTGTTCAAGGCTGTGACTACCCCGGTGTACAGCTGAGTCACAATGTTGTATTTCCGTCCCAACACTTCCCTGCCAGCCCCAGACTCTTACTGTCATTTCTAGCCCTGGGCTCCTGTTTCAACTGGGACTTCACACACTGCGCCCCAGCCACGCTGGAATTCCTTCTGGGCCTCGGATGTGTAACCTCTCCCCCCAACCCTGGGCACCTGCTGTCCCCCCACCTGGCACCGCCTTGTTTCCACTCACGGTGGCTCTCGCCCTGCCGGCTCTCGTGTGCACGCTGCGGCTTTCGAGAACCTTGGCTGGCGCCCTCTCAGGCAGCCCCCGGGAGCCCCTCCACCCGTCCACGGTGGGTGTTTATTAAATAAACGGAAACCAACAAAAACAACAAGAAAGCCTACCCCAAGCCGCATTCCTTCTCATCACCTCTTAGGGGAATCAAAAGTAAGGACGGTTTCCTGAGTAATTCAGACAGTAATGGACATTGTATAAAATCATGCCTATAATGAGGCCAAAATACAAAGTGTAAAGTTGAATGAAAAAGATGAGGAGAAAAGCCCAAAGCCTTGCTCGTCTTATTGTTGATCCCTAGCTGGTTATAAGTTACTTGCATCCCGTTCACTCTTTATCAGAACACCCTGTGTGCTTCCTTTGTAGGAATGGTCACAGACTATCTTCTCTCTCTCTCTCTCTCTCTGTCTCTCTCTCTCTCTTTCTCTCTCTCTCTGTCTCTCTCTGTCTCTCTCTGTCTCTCTCTCTCTGTCTCTGTGTCTCTCTCTCTCTCTCTCTCTCTCTCATTTACCCTCTGAATCCCCAGTGTCTAGCGTATGCTCAGCCCTTGGCACACAATAAATTCAGAGCCTTGGCACTTGCTCTTCTCTCTGCTGGGAACACCCTTCTCCCAGCCCACCCCCATCTGTGATGTCACTGCATTCAAGTCTCTGCCCAGATGCACCTTCACACAGGCTGTTCCCTCACTGTCCCACCTGTCCCTCCCTAGCCCTGTCTATGCCCTGCATTTTTTTCCTGTCCTTCCCTTGTCACCGCTTGACATCTTACCAGTGCTGTAGAATTACCCATAGTATTTAGTGTTGTTCTGCTTCTTGTCCTTTTTTGCTGAACTTACTTCGTCAAATCCATTTAAGCTAAATATGCTTATGATGTAATTTCACTGACCTTCGAATAGACTTTTATATTTTGGATGGCAAAGGATAAAGGCATGTGCACTCCTTGCATGTAATGTGTCCTATTGGGTATTTTATTGAAAATTAATCAACAGCTCTATTCATGACTATTGATTTTAATATGCTTCTATGTGGGACAAATACATTTAAAATTAAAATTAACTTAGCCAAATCATTGTTTTTGACTGGATTTGAAATATGCAGGTGTAAGACCTATTACACGCTTTTAAAGACACGTTTTATGAAAACTTCATGTTGGGGAAAGGCATACACTAAGAAATCAAGTGTCAGCAACCAAAAGTAACTGTATCCTCTTGTGTTAGAGTTGTTTTTAAAACGTGTTTTGTGCATTTGCTGGTCTCCCCTGCTCGCGTGTGATACGTTCCCTGGCACGGGCGAGGCCAGCCACTCGCTTGTATTTCCAGTATTTGCTGTGTAACAATAGCGGGTTCTTACCGTGGGCCAAGCCCAGATCTGAGCACTTTGTTTCACTCATCAGTCCTTACTGTGACCTCTAAGGCCGGTACTATTATGGGATCCATTTCCGGTGGAGGAGAGGGAGACACAGAGAAGTTAAGTAACTCACCTGAGGTCACACAGATACTAAGCGGCTGATCTAGGACACAGAGGCCTCTCAGGAACTGCTTGTTGAGGGAGACTTGTCACTGTATCCAGCTACTTACTTGCTTCCCCTTGGTGAGTCTTGAGGGTGCCTCGAACTCAGCAAGTCCCAGACTGCATTGGCGTCGGGTTTTACTCCCCGTTCTGCGTCCTCTCCCCCTTCTCCTGGTGGAAAAGCCAGAAACCCAGCAGGCGCCCCGACTTCTCTTTTTCTGTCACTAGCCCCGTCTGCTCTGTCACCGGGTCATGTCCTTCCTTTCTGGAAAAGCCCTGCAACTCCTCCCTGCCACCATCACCACCTTGCAGGGGCTTGTCCCTCCTGAGCTGCAGCCGCTCCGAACTGACCTGTGTCCACGTGGAACTTGGGCCAGTCCGTTCTCCAGCCGACAGCCAGGATCGTCTTTTCAGAGCGCAGTTCCATCCTGTCTCCCTCTGCATTAGATCCCTCAGTACCTTCTCATTGCGTTTGATAAAACCAGAATTCCTGTCCATTCTTCTCAGGTGTGACTTGGCGCCTGTCACTCAGCCCCCCTTGCGACACTTGCCTCCATTCAGGTCTCTGAACCCCCAGGACCCTCCTGCCGCAGGCTTCCCGCGAGTCAGCCCCCCTGCCTGCGCCCCAGCCTCCCTGCCTGCGCCCCAGCCTCCCTGCCTGCGCCCCAGCCTCCCTGCCTTCCCTGCGAGGCCCGTCCTTCTAGGTCCTTCTATAGTGGTTTTACCTGGTAGGTGCCCCACAGGGGCTGGACGGACATGGTACTGTGTTCTTAAAATGTTGGGCCACCTAATTTTCTTATATAATAACTGTATTTATTTAAAATGCGCAGCTTTAGCATAATTCCTGGATATAATTGTGTACAGATTGAAGTGTAGAAACCAAACTTTGAACCATGAGACAGATCGGTTCTCACATCCAAGTCACCCATTCATGTTTACCTGCTGTCGTAACTGCAATGTGGCACGACGCCTCCCACCTCTGGGCTTCCTTTGTCTCTCCTGTAGTGATGCTGCTGATTATTCAAGTTTGGCGGGATGGCTTTTGTCAGAAATCTGCCCTTTTAAGTTCGGAAGACAGGCCCCCGTCTCACTGCTCTCTAGAAGCTGGCGTAATAGAACAAGTACTTTCAGGACAACTTGGCCTAAACGCCGCTGTAAACCACGATGGAAAAACTGCAGCGAAGTATTCCCAGTAGAAATCTTGGAATTCCTTCAAGTATATTGAGATTTTGTTAGAAATTGAATTGCCAGTGTAATCCATCTTCCTTGTGAGAAAACATTCAGATAAAGAGCTGGGACCCAGCAGCATTAACCATTAGAACATCCCTTAAATCAATAAGCTACAAATCTGGCCGTGCATTCCTGCAGCGCTGGGGCTGGGGCTGGGGCTGGGGCTGGGGCTGGGGGGGCGTGACAGATGGCCCCCCGAACACGCACGCCGCGCAGCGCTGCAGTTCTGCTGCACGCCGATGGCCTTGCCGTGCTAAATTCTACAGAACGCGATTCTATTTTATTGTGGCGCATAAGAAAAGCAGTTTCTCCTCTTGTTTTTCAGATTTTCCAAATGTGGTTATTGAGGGAGTTCTCCATGGGATATTTTACCCTCATCTGCAGCCCAGGTAGAAATCCTGCATGGCTCCAAGAAGCTGAAGCAAGTTTTGAAGTCACGGCCAAGGAAATCGATACCTACCAAATTAACCTAAACTCTGAGACATAACGGCTCTAGCTAGTGGTAGAATTCACAGTCCCAGCTTAATTCAGGGCAGGGACCTTTCCATTAGAATGGTGCTTTTAAAAATAGAAACTAAACCAGGGCAGTGGTCGGGCTAAGGCCAAGTGTTTAAGAAGTAGGAGGTAGCTGCCGACTTAGAAACCCACAGAAAGGAGGCCACAGCAGGTTCCTGGGAGCGCTGGCGGCAGCGAAGTCACCCTCTGCTTCAGTCACACCATTTGCTAATTGAAAGTCATATCCTGAATCATACTGAGACTGATCAACTTCGGTAGCTTTTTTGTTCAGATCTTACAACACACTAATCTTCTCACCATGAGGTTTTCTCCGCCAGCGACTGCACATTCAGCAGTGCCGGCCCCAGTGACTGTCACAGAAACACACCGCGCTCAGTGTGAGGAAGGAGCTAAACTGGAAATTAAATTATCATGACAATATTACGGCATTTTAATTTACGTGACAGTGGAGTTGCATCAAACCAGGGATTAGCTCCTAACAGCAGCACAGAAGGTAAAATGGGCTGTTAGGTGATTCTTGGAAGCCGTTTAGAGAGGCCCTGTGTTGGAATCGTGTGCGCCCGCCTCCTCCGGCTTGCACTCCAGTGCGGGCAGGAAAGAGCGTTTCTTCATCTGAAGACCAGATGAAGCCAGCGGTGTTCAGGGGCCACTCTGTACAGACGGCACTTACCTTTGAACACTAGACCCACACTCAGCCCTGCAAGACGCCCGCCCCGTGGGAGGAAGGCGCGGGCGGGCGGGCGGGCGTCTGGGCTCCACGCAAGGCCTGCGCTAGTCAGCAGGCCGTGTCGCCACGCCCTGGCGAGGGCAGGTTACTCTCCTCTGGCCGCCTTTTTCCTGACCTCATGTAGTTAGTTAGTGTAAGTTAAATACGTTATGATATAACTCCACTGTACACCAGACAGACATTCATATGTTGAATAGTGAAGAGTAAACGCATATATACTGCCTGTATGTATGTGCCGATTTCATTGCAAACCAATTAATAACTAGCCTATTTATGGTTATTACTTTTAATAAGTTTCTATGTGGGAGAAAAATATTTAAAATCAAAACTAATAACTACGTCATGGTTTTTGATTAGGATCTCAATATAAAAGTTTAAGCCTACTGCAAACTGTTAAAGATATGTTTTATGTTAGATTCTGTTACTATTAATACACGTTGGAAATAAGCAAGAACTAAATAATCAAGTGTCATCAACGAGAATTAACTGACTAGTCAAACTTTGGAGATATTTTTAAAATGTTTTTATGTTACTAGCTATTTTGAGTTAAATAAAAATAAAGAATAAAACGTATTTATCTTCTGCTCCTAGGATTTTGTTGTAAGCACGAATTGTGTTTGTCTCTTTGCACACATAAATGCACACACACATAAAACCTTTCACACATGCACATAGACATTAATTTCTAATCTGACAGGATAATTTATTAAATTACCTCATCTATTATTAAGCCCACAGATACTCATTAAATATTTGATGATTTACCAAGATAAGTTTTTTAAAAGACCAAGCATCTATTGTGGTGCACTGCTCAAGAAATCTTTTTTTGAGAATTTTTTAGTGATGATTTTCAGTTTTTATATTTATTTAAATTTATAATATGTAATTTTATCAGCCAGGCTTATTGCAGGAACTAGAAACCATTGTAGGTGTTTTAAGTAGAAAGGGCTGTAACATCAGAAACTGAACGCTTACAGAATCTTCTGGAAGGGTAAGAGGAGTGAACCACTAGTGGGTGTCCAGAAACGAATTCAAGGATGCCATAGCAACCTCCAGCGCCGACCTGCCAGGGGAGCTGCCACCTGTGCCTAAGCAGGAATTCAGGGAGTCGTGAGGCTGCGAGTGGAGCCCTTGAGATAAACACCATAGCTGCAGTCCAGGGATCGGAAAGTGGGATCAGGAGGTGCCTGTTATCTGCATGAGACATGGAGATACCAGGAGATGGCATGGAGACACTCCACAAGGTCCACCTCATGGCAGCACACAGGAAGCTGGCCACTGAGCACTGGGACAAGGTGTCCAGCTGCCACCAGCTGCATCACAGTTGCCTCTCAACACCCATGGGCCTGCTCGCCAGCACCCACAGCCCAGAGCAGCAGGAAGATAGCATCCACCCACTTCCGTCTCCCACTTCCGTCTCCCTTCAAAGTTCATCCAGTTTGTAGAGACTGATTCTCAATCTCTGGCTACAGTGGAGTCTGGGGAGGAGCTGGTAGCCTTCTTGTCTCTGTAGCTTGGGAAAGCACATTGGAAAGATGATGGAATATATTTCCATGGTTGAAAATCAATTTAAAAATATTGATGTAAACATATATATATAGGAAATTCTTCTCCGATCTCATCTATATACCCAATTCCCCTCCTATAGGCAACTACTGTACTTAATGTGTGTATTAATATTTTGAGAGCTAGTTCATCTACATGCAAGCAAATATTAAACATTTAGTGCACATATATTCCATTTCCCTCTCTTTTACAAAAATGGTAGCATACAGTACTCATTGTTTTCTACCTATTTTCATTTAACAGTGTATCTTGGCAACCTTTCCATAGTAGTACATAACATATGTTTCTTTTTTTTTTTACAGCTGCATGGATCTGCTATAATTTATGTAACCAGTACCATATTACTGGGCATTTGTTTTCATTTTTCTATAAGAATGCCATAGACAATAATTTTTTTGTGTGTATAGATGTGTCATCACATATTTTATTAATAGTTTGCATAAAACTATAAAGCCAAAACAGAAAAAACTTTTATTTAAAGACTGTCAGATGTATAAATGCACATTTATAATATTTCATAATATTTCACTCCTGGATTTAATTGGGCGTGGCTGCCCCATGTTGCTGGGCAGGTTGTGCACTGCATAAGTCCAAGCAGTGCCATCCACATGGACTGCAGTGTGAATGGTATTCCCTGATCCATGCTCGGAACCCTGCATTTGGGGAAATATAAAGAAAACTAGACTATTCAAAACATGGATTCATAGGCAATAGAGAAGTAAAGGATAGAAGGAAGAGACCAGAAGAAAGAAAAGGAAAAGAAATCCCATTACCACTTGAGCCAGGATGTGGGGACAGCCCCCGCTCTCCTATGCTGAGCTTGGTGTTTTGCCTGGGCTGTTCCCAGGCGGCTTTATGCAGCGCCTCCCTCAGGCTCCCCCCCTCGCCCGGCCACTCTGCACACTGGCGGCCCTGGTGTCCTTTCTCCTCCCTCCATTCCGAACAGTCGGATGTGTGTACAAGCCCAGTAACACAACGACCATCGCTGCCTGGCAAATCCTACAGTTACATAAGCTCCCTTTGAAAAATGTTGAAATCTCATAATCAGAGTTTAGAGAAATATCATGATCACGATTTAGAAATAACGAACGGCTTTCATTTCACTTGTCAGCCTTGATCAGTTGATAACGGCTGCCTGAAGTGCTGCACACCATGAGGATGACCACCATCGAAACAGAAAATAACCAGTGTTGGAGAGGACTGGAGAAATTAGAACACCTGTAACTATACGTTGCTGGTGGAAACGTAAAATGGTTGCAGCCTCCGGGAAATAGTATGACGGTTCTTCAAACAAAACATAGAATTACTATATGATCCAGCAATTCCATTTTTGGTTACATACCTAAGAGAAGTGAAATCAGGGACCCAAACAGATATTTACATACCCATGTTCATAGCAGCATCAGCCATAATAGCCAAAAGGTAGAGACAATCCAAGTCTTCATTAATGGATGGACAGATAAAAAGGAAGGAAATTCTGGCACATGGTATAATGCAGATGAATCTTGAAGACAATATGTTAAGTGACATACATGGGCCAGTCACGAAAGGGCAAAAACTTGGCCGGGCGTGGTGGCTCACACCTGTAATCCTAGCATTCTGGGTGCCCAAGGCGGGGGGATTGCTTGAGACCAGGAGTTTGAGACCAGCCTGAGCAAGAGCGAGACCCCGTCTCTACTAAAAACAGAAAAATTAGCCAGACATGGTGGCATGCACCTGCAGTCCCAGCTACTTGGGAGGCTGAGGCAGGAGGATCCCTTGAGCCCAGGAGTGAGCCTCCCTGTTTTGACAGAGGAAAGGGATGCTGAAGAGGAGAAGGAAATGCTATCCAAGAAAGACACGGAAAACAAAGTTACTGACTAGCTGACTCTACCAAGAGTTGGCCTTGTTTATCTTCAGTTGTGGTGGAGGAGAGAGAACAGTCCATTTTCAGGCTGGGTGTGACGATGGCTTCAGTTGCGGGAGGTCACTGGCAGGTCGTGGGACGCCGGCGGTCCCGTTTCAGAGGCTCAGGTCCCGGAGCCTGTGCGAGGGAGGCCGATGGGGGGCTTTAGCTTCCCCCAGAGGGCGGGGTTCTCAGCTACGTGAGCTGCCGGAAGACACGGAGGTTCCAGGAATTTTTATTAAGAATTCTTTCATTACAAATAGCTTCTATTCATTACATCCTCTACTGAGAATCAGTCATTTCCCGACTTCCAGTCCAGCCCGTCCTTGCTAGCCTAGGCTGCCTCTCACCCTTCCGCCTCCCCTCTCCTGAGCTTTTTCTCACCCCAACCGAGGCGGATGGAGGTGATGAAGGAAAAAAAAATGTATTTTTTATTGAAAATAAATGTATTTTTTATTGGAAAGAAATGTATTTTTACAGAAAATAAATGTATTTTTTATTTAAAATATAAAATATAAATACATTCACTTTTCCTTCCTCACCCTCCCACCCCCACCGCCACTCCCTTCCCAGCCTCCGGTAACCAGCGATTGAAGAGAACATCCGTCCAGCTCTCGGGATATTGCGTGGGACCACAGGAAGGGACTCTTTGAAGAAGCAGGAAGGATGACAGTTTTGAGTAGTGGTCTAAATGGACACCCTATGTATAATTAGGAAGTTATTAATACATATTCATTCATCCATTTGTTCAATGAAATGCATTTGAGTCCCCTCCCCCACCCCCAGATTAAGGCACTTTATGAATCACC